CTTAAAGCCTCCTTGCGCCGCCTACCCAGCCCGTTCTCGGACTTACAGAAGTCCGAGAACGGCCGGGGTAGGCGGCGCGGAGAGGCTTCAAGCTTCCCGGTCCACCCCCCAGCCTGTCCCCGGAGCTTGGAAGGGAATTGTTGGCAGGGGACGGTGGCTTCGGGGTCCTTCCAAGGCCGCAGCCCACTGCCGACATTTTCCCCCATCTGAGCAGCGGGGCTTCAAAGCTCCCGCCGCTCAGCTGGGGGAAAATGGTGCCTATGGGGAAAAATCGCAAAGCGATTTTTCCCCATAGGCAAGATCGTTGTGCAATCGCAAAAGCGATGGCAACAAAGCCATCGCTATGCGATTTTTCGTTAAACGGGGCACTCGTTAAGCGAGGCACCACTGTAGTGTGTGAAAGAGATTAACCTATTTATAGTATGAATTACTGTTCCCAAAGGCTTCCATGCACTGAAATGCACTGGCCAGAATCCTACTGCAAAACTGTGTTGATGTAAGAACAGTGGTACAAGGAGTTTTAATTTTCTAGTTGTCATGCCCAGTTATGCAATAAGCTACACGCAAGCATGCTACATGTCTGAGCATACAATGGACAGATTGCAAAATCACACACATTGCTTGTGTGATGGATGGGTTACACCACACATTTTGAATAAGATTTTGTCAGCCTTTTGGACAAAGAGGCTGAGGGACATTTTTTTCTATCCTTGAACTGTTGGGAGGGGTTAATTAAAGGGGCAGAAAACATGAAAAACAGTGGTGCATCAGTGGAACAAGTCTTTGCTCACCCCTAAATTAAGTACACAGAAAATGTCTCTCTTTTTTAAATATACCCAGTCATGAGGGGTGGAGCTTCCTCCCTCCCATTTTCACAACCAAAACTCATGCCTCCTTCCTTCTCTCCACCCCATAGTGTTTGCTCTCTAAGATGTAGAGTCCTATAAAGTACCTTCAAGGAAACAATGTTTTCACCATGGAAGAAGGCATAGTGGGAAATAATTAGCCCCACTGCCCACAGGCCCCAACACCAATCTGGATTGGTGCTTTCATGGCTTCTTTTATCAAGAAAAATAAGAGAAGCTTCAAAACTGCATGTTTAAAAACATCATTTAATGTAGTGTATGGACTCTGTTCTTGAACCAGCACTCTCTTGTCTTGGCTAGCAAAGATAATGAGAAATCTCTGTGTGGGTGAGTGTTTACATATGTGTGTGCATGTACTCACTATGTACCTATAGGGGCTGAATTGAAGAAGAAATTCCTGTGATGATAACCTCTGAGTATCCTTACGCCTTTACAGAATCCTGCAGGAATTATTTCCTTTGGGGTTTTACTTATCATTTTTTTACTTGTTGTTGCGCTTGATTGCATATTTTTATATGTGCTTGCTTCACAAATGTGCTTTTGTGTAAGCTGAAACTCATTTCTCAAATTTGCTTGCCTTTGCCGTCCATGTATTATGTTCCTTTTCAATTTTGCAATCAAGATGCATTTGGGAACCTATTTTTCTCCATTGCTGTAGCAATGTTCATGCATACATGCTATTTGCAAATGGGCTGCCAAGTGATTGCCTAGTCCTTATGTTTTCTGTGGCTTTGGAGACATGAAATGTTTGCAGAGGAATAGCATTTCCAGGACTTTTTCTGGAGCCAGAAAGTAAGCAGCAGCTGGGGAGTGATCCCTTTGTGGTGGGTTATTTCTTATCTCTTTGAGAGCCAATTGGATCCTCTGCAAAGAACAACTGGAGGAAAGAGATGCTCACTTCCCTTTCATTTGAATCAATAATTAAAATACCATCAAGCACACTACATAACAACTTTCTGATCTTCTTAGGACTCCAGGTTCAGCTTGAAAAGTGTTGTGGTTACACTCAGTCTCTTCCATAGCTGTCCCTACAATTAGTCAGAGAGGCACATACCTGGAATGACAGTTGGCGAGGGGCAAAAAGCAGTAATCTGGCTGCTTTTTCCGTGTCTCTCAGCTGTTTCCTTCTCTTGAAGGATCAGGTTGTGTCACACAACTTGTTCTGATCCCCTAAACTGGCCTACAGCCTCAGGTATGATAGAAGATCTCACCTGTTGCAAGTATTTAATGGAAATAGTCTAATGAGCTAGAATTGGTAGAAGGGGATTGAGTATCTTCTTTGTCCTTCATCTCAGGCAGAAAATCTCTTCATTTACCCTGGTAAGTACCCCCAACCTATTAGATCAGAAGTGAGCAACATATGGCCGGTTAGTCAGGAGCACCCATAGGGGCCCAAAAGTGGGCCTGCAGAACCTATGAGGGTTCCACACGTCTTGATTTTTTAAAGACAATTAAAAAAATATTTGGAAAACAATTGTGTTTTAGATGGCATGGAGGCAATATTTGTCATGTTTAAGGAACACCATGTGCCCCTGCTCCCAGCTTCAAAATGGCCAGGAAACCAAATATCTGACATTCATTCACACTCTAGCTAGCTTCAGTGTCTTCACTGAGGTAATATATGGAGACTGGCCAATCCAAAATGAGGATTCCCCACCCATTCAGTTTTCTCTGTCCACACTACAGGAAATACTATACCATTAGTCACTCCTCTGGAACATGAGGAATACATGAACTGTCCCTTTCTTCACAGGAGTCAACATCAGACAGCGAATGACATACACAGTTTTAAAATGGATCCCAGTAATCACAACTAGTAGAATAAGAATGGAGGGTCCATTCATCTTCTAAAGTATGAGGTTCAGTGAGTGAGTGAAATCAAATTAAGTAAGAATCTGGGAGTGACAAATAATAATTTTGCTAAAATGATCCTACACATTTCTTTGCTCATTCCGTGAGATCACAACTGCAACAGGAGGATACATTTGTCTGAAAAAGCTGAAAGGAAGCTGCTGGGCTGAGAGAAACATCTACGCACCAAGAGTATGGGGTACTGATCAAAGATTGTTAGAAACACCATCTTCTGTATTCAGGTATCAACTGATAATGACAGCTGCATACAACAAAGCCTTCCACAGTCATTCTGCATTACTCCCTTTATTTTTTATATATTTTTTGCAAATTGTGCTGGAAATAATATCCTATTCAGGAGAACAAGAGGAGATAAAGAAGTTTCAGTAATGTATTTTCTTCCTTTTGCAAGAAGCCATCACAGATTACTGTGTAGATACATTAACATGGAATAACACTTGGGTTAAATTTATGCATACTCATGATCCCTTCTTCTCCCCCCCCCCACCACCTTTAACAGGAACTCCCATTATTTTCTTGTATGTGCATATGGAAATGTGTATATGCATGCATGTGCAGATACAAACATAGACACATTCTAAGTCACTAATGGCAAGCTTCATCAAGCAGCTGTGTTACACAAGAGGTGAGGCCTGTGCTATTCCATCAGTGTAAAGACCAAAATTAAGGCTTAAGTAGCTTGGTTCTCCAAAGTCCCAAGTCAAATCAGTTGGAAACATCAAGACTAAACCTTAAACCTTGCTGTTATGGAAACCCCCATTCTTGAAGAAATTTCTGGCTTTTGAGGAGCTCCTTTATCTCTGAGCCTGGCCTCCACCACCAAGCACATTTACACTGATGAGAATCAGCATTTTTAAAATAATTTCAAGATGCATGGGGCAAGTGTTGCCTTATTATGCATACCGTTTCATGTGTTAGATTTCATAATCTTGAAGCTCAGATATAGACAGCCACATTCTCTCTTTTATTATAATTACTGTAAATTTATCCTGATCTGCTTGTCTTACTGTATTAGCTTGGTAGTCTTACACTGCATCTTCAAATGTGTATTTTAAAGAAAGCAATCCTTGAGAAAATTTGTCTTTACTCAGGTCTTCCAATGAAAGCCTTCATTCTGCTTTGAGCCTGCAAAAACACATATATTTATTAACAAGAGCTGTCCCCTTGCTTTTCTGTTCAGTTTGCAGAATTGAGGCAAATTTAAAAGATTGATAATGGGAGAAGAGATGGCATAATAGAGTTTATTGAAATAAAAAGCAGACTTCTGATTTAAAATCAATTAACTTTTAATGGTTAAAAGGCTCTTTTGAATAGCTTCCAAAGAATATGAGACATATCTTTAAAATTAGAGTGAATGTGCATTTTATGTGGCTAATGCAAAGTACTGGACTGTAATAGTTTACAAATTATATTGCAAAACCATAAACCAGAGGATGTAAAATTACTTCATATCAGTTATTTGCACACTGTTCTTTTGCTGAGAGAGAAAAAAGTTGCAAAGAAGATTGATAATTGTGGTGCTTTATGTTCATCTGGAACTTCATTGACATCCTGTATGTTAATCGGGGGTGGGGGGGGAAGAGTGTTTAATTTTTTTCTGTAAGCACTTTATTTGTGGCATTGAAATCAGCAGATTAGGGTTTTTTCCATAAAAAAGCTTCATCAGAAAGAACTTGAGCCAGTTTTATGTTGAAAGGCTGATAGAAATCTCGTAGAATTTCCTTTGTGAGAGGTAACATAGGACCTAGATTACGATCTTCAGGTCTTCTAGTGTTTGATGCAGGACTCTTGGTAATTAGAGCTTCTTGTTTTTCTGTTAGGGCACCTGTTGTAAATTTAAAACAAAATCATTAACGTAAATATCAATGATTTCTCTTATACTTTTTCTCAAAAATTTCAAAGTTAAACAATATTAAATGTACAGTTGTAGCTTTGAACAATATGGCTTCTGTTGTGTTCAGGAGCAGATGACTTGTTCATTGGAAAATCTGAAAAACTTACATCTTCCCTAGTTTATTTGGAGTAAAACCACCTGTGATATAAAACCTGTAAATTCTTCATGCTATCTAAAACCCCTTGTATCTGTTCCAGCATATCTCCTCCTAAATAAATATGAATATTAAGAAAGCACATAAAGACTTTCTAATTCGGCATCCTATTTCCCACAGGTACTACATGGTGCGTACCACTGCTCTCCTCATGATTATGTTCCACAATATTTAAATACAGTAGTTCTTAAATATTTGAATGTTAGTTGCATTTTAAAACACAAAAGTAATTTTATCAATGGATTTCTTAGTAACTTTGCATAATAAACACTTGGAAGGATTACTCGTGGCTGTTTTAGCAAATTACAATAGTATAAAATAACTGAAAATTCACATCGGCCAAAATCTTGTTGTACAGCATAGCAAATTGCACTAGAACAGGCCCAGTGAATCACTGGGATTTAGTGAGTCAACTCTTCCAAAGGTTCTATTGATTCAAATGGGCCTACTTTAACTGTGATTTATTTTGGCAAAGAGAGTCACAGTTTGACTACGCCCACTTCAATCAATGGAACATATGGATATGTTGACTTAACAAATTTCCACTGTTTCAGTGGGCCTACTCTAGTGTGATTTACTATGCTAAACAAAAGGACTGTGGCCATTCTTGGATAAAAACTATTCTTTCTTTTTTGTAATTATTCCTTATGGATAACAATGATGGAGAATCTGTATAAAATATATGACAACTTCATTTATCATGTGACTGATATGCTTAAATGAGAAATGTCAGAAAATTTCCTACCTAAATCCAGGAACTGGAAGACCATGTGCATAGTAAACTTAACATTGGATGCATGATCTTCCAAGCGGAGAACCAGTATTTGATCTTTATTAAAAACTGTCAGCCAGTCCAGAAGAAAAACAACATACAAACCAACCTGGAGCCTTACCTAAAAGAATGAAACAAAACACAATAAGGTTTCTAAATCTGTAAACACACACAAATAAACCAAGTACATACTAACTGCATAATTTGTGTATGTCCTTCACCTTTCCTCTAGCACAGTGGTCCCCAACCTTGGGCTTCCAGATGTTCTTGGACTACAGCTCCCGGAAGCCTTCACCACCACCTCGGCTGGCCAGGATTTCTGGGAGTTGAAGTCCACGAACATCTGGAGGCCCAAGGTTGGGGATCACTGCTCTGGCAGATGAAAAAATGTGATTGAAATAACATTTCCACTTTTAAGCTACATTCCTTGCTAAAGGAACTGCAATCTGGTTGACCCTGGTTACCTCATTTTTTTGATATATATAATTGGAAAGGTGGAGTATACATTTAACAAGTATACATTTAACTAAGGCTCCCCTGCATTAGTATTTTTATTGAATGCAATCTTAATTTTGTAAGAAAATTCTTTCATATTTTGACATGCTATAATAGTTTCATGTTCTGTGCTTAAGTACATGATCAAATATGAATTTAAATGTACATACTGGCATGGCATTGTTAAGGGTGTTGTTGTACACACAAGCTCTCAAGGAGTAGTCTGCAAGACATCCATCAAACAGCTGCAGTGACTCGGTCACTTTTTCATGGAAGTCTTCTACAGACTTGTTAGCACTTGCAAAGTAGAGATAATCAGAATACAATCTGCAAATGAAACAATGTAGAAACAACTGAATTGTAATTACAGTCAAGCAATGTTGTCATAATTAACTTAAACATAATGAACTAACAATTACTATCCAAAAAAGAATAAAAGAATGTGATGTAGATAATAATGGCCTGCTGAGACTACTGAAGTTAATTTTGTATTTATTTTCTTCTAGACAATGTCAAATGGCTCAGATTACATAGAACGCAGCTTTTTATCTTGAAAATGAGTTTTCCCTCCTTTCATACTAACAATTAAAAACTCTCAAATTTGAAATGTAGCACTAGTTAGTACTTTTCAGGTGCACTAAGAACTGCTAAACAAACATTAAATCAATAGATTTTAAAAGTCTCAGTTTTAACACGATCTGCTGGTGATTTGGGTGTACATACAAACCTAAGAGGCAACTTGTGAATGGAGAAGGGTGGTACTCCCAAATCTTGGGGTGAGTTCCTTTGGGCTCATTTCAGGAACCACCCCTGGGAATGGTACCAGTGAGGAATACCTAGGATGAAGGTACATTCAGAGGTCCCATGTGAGCAAAAATGTTCCTGTTCTCCTCAGTGGTGAAAATATATTATATTGTACAAATCTCTGTAGATATTCTGTTAGTATCTTAAATTGATACCCTATTTATCTGTAACAGATCATTGAAAAGCAGCTTATAAACACAAAAACAAATTTGAACATAAGAAAATTCAAAAAATAAATAAAAGATTGAAAAAAATATTTTCTTTACAGTGCAATCCTGTTTCTCCTCAGCTATGCTTGTCTCAGCCATACTAATGTTCTTTTTAAATTTGTTACTATATAGGGATATCCACCATGAGAATCTCACTCTCTCTAATCCAAAATCCAAAAACAGTTATAACATTCCAGATTATAAGCAGCCACAGGCGGGA